TCAGTCACCAACAACAGTTCTTTTCAGAACTACACTCACCCGGACGATCACACTATACGAACTACTGATACTCCTGGGTTCAAACCATTTACTGTATTTTGAATTGTAGAGGAAGTTTTACTTTGATGTAGTATTTGCTGAGTTAATGCTTTACCCGTACTTTGGTATAAGATGACAGGCAATCAGGTGATGAACGGTCCAAGGGCCCGTTTCTCGAAAGCCCCGGAAACTTGTCGGACCCGCAAAGCCATTTTTAATTAATCGGTATTTAAAGAAAGAGAGTTGTATACGCCTGAAACGTCTCGTATGACGGGAACCTCTGTTCACATTACGAATATGTGCATAGAACAGCTCTGTAGTCATAAGGTTGGAGATCTTGCTACGGCTTTGGGGTGCGAAAACTTTTCGGGACCTTCGAGAAACGGGCCCAGGGCTCGAAAAAAACGTGAATTACAGCTAGCCCTCGGGACAAGTAGCTCTCAAATTTTGTTTGCCCTGGGCAAGACCTAGTCTGCTTAATTGGTAGACGACTTGCCTGATCCCTTGCCTATCGGGAAAGTGAGAATGAAAAATTACTTGCGCAGCAGGAAAATCCACTTGCCCCGGACTACCGGACGGCACTTTTTTCAAGCCTTGGAACCAACAATTCCATTATATCTTTCCTGCCCGTTCACGGATATCATGTTCGATTTCAAGTTCAGGTTTCTTCCAGTCATGGGCATTGGAGAGTAATTTTTTATTATCTTTTTTAATTTTTTTTTATTTGGAATTACTACAATACTTTTGCTTTCCTGCAGGTGTCAAATGAGAATTGGTAAGGACTATCAACCTGTAGGCGGAAAGCCTGTTTGGTAAGGCCTTTTTTCCGGTAACTACAAAATGTATATTCCTATACACAAGTTTAATTTGCTGTGTATCAACGTCTGTTACCTCACCTATTCTCTTATGTGCAGGAGTAACTCATTTTCACTGGACAGTCCCAGGGAATTCAAACGTGTACATGCTAGGCAAGGTGAAAGGCGTCCTGATAAGTAAGTCACATACAGTGTAATTTTATGCTTACAGTTTGTCAAGGAATACGGTGTTTTGCAGTGAAAACATATTATATACAGATAACAGTGAGAGAGGTTACACCAATCGCAATCTAGAGGGGTTTTCCATAATCATTCGCATCTTTATGGTGATTTTGTAAATATTTTTGAGACAATTTAAAGCCAAGTTATTTTAGGAGACAAAGTAGTCAATTAAGCTGCAATCCGGTTGGTTTGACTCTTTCTATGTCCAATTACCGCTATGATCTTGATTTTTACAGCCGATGGAGGTTTTAATGTATATTGTCGTAAAGAAAACTTGTTGAGTTTCTGGTTTGCTTTCGTTTTGGAAATTACGTTTTAACCGAGATGTTGAATTTGTTGAAAAAGCAATGTAATGGTTCAAACAAGATTGGTATTGTTTGTTTAACGATTGCATTACCTGAAGTAGAAACAAAGTAAATTTTAAACGAATTGCCTAAATCTTTTCAATAAGTAAACAATTAACATTAAATGTGTATAAAATACATAAAATGAAATATATAAAATCTACGTAAAAAAAGAAGAAATTGCTATTAATTGAATCTAAAAATCTTTTAAAGTATTTAAACTAACACTGGAAAATTTGAACCATTTACAGACTTCTGGAAAGTTTGTCAAATCTCTGTAAAATGTTCACATTTCCTTTGTAAATTTCAATGTCTGTAAATTTGCACACTTTCAGAGATTTTGTATTCTCTATAAAAAGTCTGTAAATTTCAGTACGTGTTTCGCTTTCAGATCGCATAAAATGTCCGTGAAATGTAGCTATTTTTCTTGTAAATTTTTTGTAAAATTTACAGAGATTTTATAGTATATAAAGAAATCTCTGTAAAATCTCCACATTTTCTCTGTAAAAAGGACAGGAGAAAAAATCTCTGTAAAATCGAAAGCATAAAATCTCCGTATTATGTCTGTAAAATTTAAGCTAAAATAACATCATAAAATGTTAGTAAAATCTACACAAATAAACTACACGTAATGCCACACAAAAGTGCACATAATGTCTGTAAAATGTAAGCATTTTATTGGTATAAATCTCTGCAAAATGTCCACATTTTCTCTGTAAAATCAGCCTGTACTAAAGGAAATGGTACAAAAGTCATAAGACATAATCTCAATAAAATATATGTAAAAAGTGAACTGAACATTGCATAAAATCTTAGTATAATGTACACAAATAAACTGCACAACAGGTCAAACAAAAGTACNTAAACACATTCTTAGAAGATTTTGTTAAGTCTGTAAATTATGATTTCTTTCCTCTTATTCTAGCTGGTACAATTTACAAACATTTTGCAAACATTTTAAAATGAACAGAACTAACAACTAAACAGAATCTTTGTAAAATAAATTTACAGACATTTTGTTTTTAAGCGAGATAAGTGACCAAGTCTGTAAATTCAGGATCTACAGACATTTCATAAAGTCTGTAAATGGGTCAAATTTTCCAGTGTAACAGTAACATAACTGTAACGCTTTAAAGCAAGTAACGGTGTCAGTCTATGATTGTAGTATATTTTACTATCAGGAAGGTTTGTGATGCGTAAAAAAACAGTAACACTCAATACTAAGGAGCGGAAGAGTGACGAAAAGAAGGCTGGTTGGCTGCTTCGTGCAGTTTTTTGAAATTAGAACTTTAGCGGAAGTGCTAAGGTCTTCTCTATGTTTCCAACATGGTCGACGTAGAAACCGGGAACATAGGGGACAAAAAAATCCTCGACATTTGTTATGGAAATTACTGAGCCCGTTGTCACATTAAATCCCTTCATTACAGAACAAAACAGAAAGGAAAAGCCGCCGGTACTGCCGCGCCCGCATGCAAAGTGTCCAGCAGCGCTGTCAGCCGTCAGTTGGAGTTGCACGTGCAAGCTGCGTGTCTGTTTCGCGCAAACCTCCCTAGCGAGTCCGTGTGTCTTGTCACTTCTAAGAAATGGTAACGTAGTGCTGGGGTGGTGATTGGTTGAATTGTTCTATCAGTGCGGGCATTACAAATAGTTGCCCGGTGAACTTTATGTAACGTGCAGCAGAAGTTTGTGAAGTATTCTTTGCTCGGTAAAAAAGCGATTTTGTAATAGCGATTATCACAGTTTTGTTAAATGTTTCAGCACTAGAACGTTTGAAAAACGCTTTAGGCTTGAGCTGTTTGACAACTTACCGAAGATGTAGGATTTGTAAAATTGACATGGGTTCTATTATAGTAACACTGCTGTGGGCTGTAAAACTGCGTGAAATTTCCTAAAATATCTATAGTGTATACCGTATTTAACTAAGTGTAACAATAATGATTTTTAATCATGACAAGCTCTTAAAAATCAAGCAAACCTACTTTCTTTGAGGCAGTGTAAAAGTGTTTGTTTAGTGATTAATACACTGTTTGTCCAGTTTCTTAGTAGGTTGGCGTAAATAATCTTAAACAATAAGTTTAAAATCTAAATGGTGGGCTCTAATGATATGACAAAATAGTTTACTAAAACACTGCCAAGATGTCTAGACCGCTATAAACCCTGTGAAATTACAACCTGAAATGTAGGGCGATAAATGCGTAAACTGAGATGTCGTGAGAAAGTCGTTCTAAGTTAAAGTAATAACAGGGAATTTAATTGCCAGCTATTTGTAAATAACATGTAAATACTGCACAAAATTAAATACTGCTTGCGTATACGCCCTAGCAGGCGTGCAATAACGTGTTAGGGTTTGTATTTAATTCTCGTCAAACCGTGAATCAGTTCAGGATAACCAATATTTCGAGAAATGAAACACAAACCTTCCTGAGCTAACTTGCTTAAGTTTTTGCTTCTCATTATTTCATTTCGCTCGAGGTATAAGTACATAATGACCGGCTCAAGGTAAACGACAGGTTTCCTTCCCTGGGACCCTTGAGGAATTACACCCAATTAATTAATTCATGCAATGGATAAATAATTAAATGTTTTGAATTAACACATTTAATTCCGCTCCACTCAGAAGATATATACAGCATTGATTGCATACATTTCCTACGTATTTACGGTTGATAAGTTCTCTACATTGTGCCTCAAGAAGTGATGCAGCATGTAAGGTCATCTTTGGTAGTAGTTGCTACGTTTCATTCCATTGTACTTTCAATGTTCTTGTTCGTGTTTTTTTCTGCAGGGTGTACGATATCGGTATTGATGTTCGCTTTGGCCAGGGTCGGTATCGTGATACCAGAATTGTCACCCTCGCTACACGGTATCAGCTGGAGAACAGAACTCAGCACACTCTCGCTTTTTCGCAGAGACACTTCGTCAGAGAGCAAGTATGCATATTTCTAGCTCTTTTCTTTACTTAATCACTGAAGTCAGTTTAGTCAACTCAGTCATTTTCCTTTTGTTGAACAAGGCATTGGTATATAGCAATGTCTGCCACTGGGGCACTGACTCTCTCTTTCTGATTTTAGCCAAGTATCTTAGCTGCTTGTTAGCCGAAGCATTTTAAACCAAGGCTTATCATTTTCACCACTTTGAGTGTGGCTTTCTAGACCCAATTAGTCTGCGAGGAATGAGGGAATTCATCAAAGGTCTGTAATTGACTTGAGATGCTGGCTTGCGACACTACATTCCTGTCTAGCGGAAAGTAACTTTTTCAGGCGTACTTTTAATTATTTCCAAAGAATCAATGTCTTTTATGTAGAGTGTTTCTTTGATTTCACTGCAGGAAACGTCTAATCCCAAGAGTGCACTCACTGCCTTGCCAGGGGCCCTGGTGCTTTTTCACTGGGCCAGAACAGACTTAGACCAACTGTTGTGCATCAGGTAAAAGCCCTTTAATTTGTGCTCCTATAAGTTATGTTGAACTTAGTCTCTGTGGTTACTTTGATGGTTTGTTATTGTTGTTGTTGGTGTTGTTGTTGTTGTTGTTGTTGTTTTTGTTGAGAATCTGTTAATGTGATATATTGCTTCACATGCTACTATTCCCAAAGCAATATTATACAACTCATGGACGTGCTGAAGTGGGAGGCGTGGTGACCTCATGGCTAGTGCGCTCGTCTTAGGATTGAGCGGTCCGGAACCGAGCCCTGGCCGGGGACATTGTGTTGTGTTCTTGGGCAAGACACTTTACTATCACAGTGCCTCTCTCCACCCAGGTTTATAAATGGGTACCAGCGAACGTAATGCTGGGGGTAACCCTGCGATGGACTAGCATCCCATCCAAGGAGGAGTTGAATACTCCTTGTCGCTTCATGCTTTAACCTTTTTTACCATGGACGTGCTGAATACCGAAGGGCTTAGTCATTTCTTGGGTAAAACTTTTCAATTCAATAGTACAGCCAATAGTAGCTTCGTCACTTGTACAAAGTGAACGATAGCACATGTTATAACCTTTGGCCCCTGTTCCCTTTTGGCTCAGTTTTCTTTTTGATATCTTTCCACCACTATAACGTAACTTCACATGTGTGGACAGTAGCTTTGTGGTACAAGAGCTTCATGACGAATCAACTTGTAATCAGTGAGAACATTTAAAATGCTTGAATCTGTCATTTATAGACTTCTTATAACGAACGACATATCTGTAACAAAAAATATGTAGGCAAGTGGTGTTTTTTTCTAATGGATTTATTTTCAATGGTTGTTTTTCAAGGTTAAGTGATGTTTCTCACTGTAAGTGGTCTGGGGGTTTCAGGATTGATCAGGACGATTCATTTCATGTCAATATGAGGTATGCTAAAAGTTTTCAGTCCAGTGCAAAGTCAAGTGTACCAGTCATTCAGTTCGTTGGTATTAGTTAATTATTATTAGCTTGAACGTGATAACGTGAATTAAGGACGTTCTGGCGGAAATCTGCTAATACATACATTATTATCAAACTTTTAATTTGGTCAGATAATGAGTTACCTGTGTTAGAAATTATAATGCAAGAGAAAAAAAAAAAAAAAAAAGAGTGCTTCTTCGTTTCCGAGATAAAGCGAATGGGAAAAACTCCCTGATTTTGAAAAATTGGCGCAAGAAGCTCATTGGTCTGCAATTGGTCCCGATTAAGCTAACCTAGGGCCAGCGAGAATCTTGACATCAGTTTTGTAACCTTTCGGCGAGGTTTTATGCTCATGTTTTATGCTGTTTGTCTGAATAATCGCAAACTAAAACTCTTTCCTATAAGAATATTGCTTTTCCGGCCGTGGCTGAATATTCTCATTTTTCTGCGGATTTTACGCTGAAAATATTCCTGTGAATATTCTTAGATTATAGCGTATTACATTTCTGTTTTCCAATGTATTTGGTGTCTGGATGTTGTTAAAATAATTTTTGAGCCCTTCTGCAGGCATTAAAAACTGATATGACGCACATAACTTCTTGCAGAAATGTTATAAGCACCGAACATTCGGCTAGTGCTGATTTTTTGTTTTTTGGTTAGTTTTGTCGTTTTGAGAAAGGAACAACTTTATACGGTTTAGTTTAAAACATATAATTGTATTGTATTTGCAATTTTTCGACACACAAAAATTCTATTCTTTTCAAAATCTCTTCGGGATTATTCTTAAAGTTTTCCGAATATTAATTTTAAGGCTTAAAATTTCAGCCTCAATATTCTCATAAAATGTATTCTTTTATTCTTTTCCAAAAGAGTGTATGCAAAACATGAGGAGTGAAAAACACTTTTATACAAGAAAAAAAATACTACTTCGGTTAACCGTTTTAATCCTTGTTTTAGCGTCAACCGGCTTCCGAACAACCCAGCCCATGGTTTTTAGTTAGGACCTTTTAAGAGGAGTCAATGGGGGTAACTTATCTTGTCATTTTTTGTATACAAGTGTGTCTGTTGCGTCAATGATCCCAAATGTTACCATCCCTTATAAAACTTGACCCTTGAAGCCGTCAGACAGCTCAACGGAGAGCTAAAACAAGCGGAATTATAATATCAATTATATAGACTTTCACTTTTTTCTCTCTTTGGTTTTTTCGAAACGTAAAGTATGAAACAGTACGGTATCGAATATGGTGTTCCGTATTGTTTCCCTTCGTAATCATTTATCAGCCGCAGGCGTAGGTTTGCAAATGCATTTGTGGCATTGAAGTATTTGTTTACAGCTGGTTTTTCATATTCAGTCAATTTCGACTGGGACACAATTTTTCAACTCTGTCTAATTGGATCCTTGTTGCTCATGCGGAGCAGTTAATTGCCGTGTTTTATTATTAAACAATGGTAACCTTTTACTGGGCAAAGGGGCTCCTTACAGAGCCAAAGCCTGGTCGAAACATCTTATATTGAATTATTCCTTCTGCCATCTAGCTCATTGCCTATTCTGTTTTTGGGAAATGTCCATTAACGTACATGCTAATTACTGGCTTAAAGTTCTTGAGAGGTCAAACAGTAAAGACATTTTCCAATAAGTTTACTACTAGCTTTTCATGCCGTGTTCCGATACAGCTTATTGTACTCCTTTTTATAAAGCGTTTTCCAAGATCGATTCTAAGCCTGCAATTTCCTTTCAAAAGCAATTATACGAGCAATACAGCGGGTTTGTTTTGACTCGTCACTCTTTTCAGTTTTACTCCATCTCTTGGGGTCTTTGCTGCTTAAAGCGGTAAAGGACCGAATTATCATCGAATAATTTGCGAATATTCGTTGGTTGAGGAAAGTACCCGAAGTTTAATTAAACGCTGTTTGAGTGATATTTAAAACCAAACACCAATTTAATGTCAATATCGCGATATGCAGTTGTCGCTTTTTTCGTAACAATGAATGGTTATTGAACACCTTTCGCGAAAAACGTCAATCTAATGAGTTAATTTAAAGTCACCGAATGTTTAGCAAAATGCACTTAACTGTGTTGCTTTCACTGTGCCGGGTGACTCCGCTGTTCTTCAGGTTTCTTTTGTTCCGTTGGGCGAAACGAAAGGAAAGTTAAGAGTTGACCATGAACAAGAGCGAGGAAGACAACAACGGATCGGAAAATGAACTAACACTGACTCGTCCTGAAACTATAATTATCATCCTAAACTGTGTTCTGAACGTTCCACTGATACTCGTATCCATTGTGAGCAACGCTTTGGTGTTGGCCGCCATAATAAGAACGCCTTCCATTCGCTCGACGCAGATGATAATGCTGTGCAGTCTGGCTGTTTCAGATATCCTTGTTGGTCTTATTGTTCAACCGATTTATTGCACTCTTCTACTCACGAAAGACCATGACTTATACCATGTTTCAACAAAGTTAGGGTACTCTTTATGTGGCGTTTCTTTCTTGACAATAACAGCCATCACCGTTGATAGATTCCTGGCGCTTCACTATCACATGAGCTATGCTTCTTTAGTGACTGAACGTCGTGTTAAATGTACTTTAATGATTATATGGTTGTTTAGCCTACTCATAGCAGGGTTTCACTTTTTAGGTTTTCGTTTACAGAACTCTCTTGTTAGCATTGTTACTATCATTTGTCTCATAATGTGCACGTTTTGTTACATCAGAATTTATCGCATTGTGCGTCGGCATCAGTTTCAAATTAAGTCTCAACAACAGGTAGCGCAAAGTTCTGACGCTGGAAAAAACTTGAATATTTTGCGTTTGAGAAAAAGTGCATTGAACACATTCGTCTTCTACATCGCTTTGATATTATGTTATTTTCCAATATTTGTTTCATTGGCTCTTACTGCTCTTTCCATCAAGGACTGGGAAAGCGAATGGGAATTTGCTAATACCGCGGTATTCTTGAACTCGTCCATCAATCCGTTTTTGTATTGCTGGCGTCTTCGCGAGCTTCGAAAGGAAGTTGTTAAGACAGCAAGGCTGATGTCCTGTAAAGCACAAGAGGAAACCTAGAAATTTATTCTTTCTGAACGAAAAGAAGAAGTAAACTGAAGTTTATAGCGAGGCGGTAATTTTCATTTTTGATCATAGCTGTCTGTGTCTGCAGAAGTCCTGTAAAGAAAAAAGAGGAAAACTAGAAATTATTTCTCACCAAAAAGAAGTATAAAACTGAAGTTTGCAGCGAAAAAGTAATTTTCGTTTTCTCTGTTAGTTGTGTGGCTCATGTTGTCATTGAGAATTGTAAATAAACGAGATACAAACGTAATTTGGAAGATCTTGTTATGAAGGATCGAGTACTGTTATATGAGGCATCGAAAAACAAGCTCACTTACAATGTAGGTGATAACATGCAATTTTTATTTTCTTTTTCTGTATTATCCGTGCTGAATTCTAAATGAAAACCAAAAAAACCTGCCGCTGCACTATTTCATTTCCATTTAAAAGCGAAATGTGCGCTTAAATACATTGTCGCGGCAATTGGAATGTAACGTAATTCGGCGAGTTATATTGAAACCAAAACAAAACGCTGCCCCTGTTGTATTTTATTTCCATTTATAAGCGATGTGTGCACTTAACTACATTACCGAGAATTGGAATATAACCTAATTTGGCGAGTTATATTGAACAATTAGACTCAGTGTGAGTTCGATATTTCTATGAGGCGATATTTGATGACGCGGAAGGCCAAATCATCTATCACCTGGTAGAAATCGAGAGCGAAAGTTGTAATTGTTTTAATAGAATTCAATTTCATTTTCCACAGATAACGATTTTCAATTATGTCTCCGTATATTTAAATGATGTTTAAATAACAACACTCGTGAATCTGCGATTCAAAGGGTCCAGTTTTTGTAAAAGGAAAAAAAAAATCAGAAACATTTCAATATAATCACAGGGGATTTTTACCATTTGCAATTTTCGACTCGTAAATTGTGAACCCCACATATTGAGACTCTCGGGTAGTGAAGTAAATGTATCTGTATTTATTAAACAATTTTACACATTTTATGGCAAATAGACTCCTCGCCCCTGGTCATGTCATCTTTTATTAAAATTTTCCTCCGCCTACTGGCTCCTTACCAATTCTAATTAATAAATTTGGGGACGGTGGGAGGATGATAACCAGAATTTTACCGGAGTTTTACCTCGCACGCTTAATATTTGCCATGTGCATATTTGAGAAGAAATTACATGCTGATTACTGGCTTAACGCTCCTTCGAGGGAAACAGTAAGGACAATTTTCCAATATGTTTCAGTACTACCAGTTTTTTGTGCTATGTGGTGATCCAGCTAATTGTGGTCCTTTTTATCAACCGTTTTCCTAAATCAACTCAAACGCCGACATTTTCTTCATGATTGTTCTTTGTATTTACGCTGTGCGACCCAATATACAATTTGCTCAAAGTCGTTTTGACAACTCTTGTCGTGTATATTATAGGAACATGCCATTTCATACTACTTAGTCTGCGCGCTCGATGCATGACGTGGCGTGTAAATTGCATGCGCAGTAGAGATGCGCACAAACAATTAGCGCGGCCGTCCTTCTGTGGCTTACGAATTACAAAAGCCGATGTTTAGGGTGTTAGCTAACCGTGTGCACATTTTCGCCTTCTCTGTCTGTCTGTCTGTCTGTCTGTCTGTCTGTCTGTCTGTCTTTTTCTCTGAAAGCTTTGTGAGCTGGCAGTGCTGCTCTTTCATTGTTTTTGGCTTTTATTTGCTGTCCTTCCTGATCGTCAACCATTCAATTCCTACTAAAATCAACGTTTATCACTAAGAAATACATTACAAAGTGTTCTTCTTTACCTTTGTTTAGAAGGGAGCTACCGGTATAAAACCCGAAAATAAAAAAGAAACGAAAATAAAATTTAAAAAAAAAACGAAAATAAAAAAGTCATTGTAGTCGTGGTTAATGTTGTCAAATGGTGTATCTCTCCTTAGGAGCATAAATGGTTGTTCGTTGTTTGTCAGAGTAGAGGTGATGTTAAGAGGGGCCACATTTCATGTCTTGTTCACTGACGCCTCGCAGCTTCCACCGCCATTCAGGATTGACAACTTATCAGAGGTTTGTGTTAATTCTTCATGACTTGCTCAAAAACAGTGCGTAGGAAATAGCATAAAAACATGATGTCTCACATGGCTTGCATGACCTTAAACATAACACAATATTTACTGTGGCATGGTTACGTAAATTTCCGGTGATTATGAGAAAGATTTAAATTCTGTTCCAAGGAGCGTAGTGCAGAGATAAAACGAGGAGGGTCGAACCCGAAAGGCTGCAGAAACATTTGTAGCGAGCTAGGCCATGTACCAGGTTCATATCAAATTAAAGTCCTTGATTAGCACGCAAAGGGCTATGTGAATTGGACTTTAACCGTGTATGTTTATTGACGTATTTGATTGTGTGACAGGTGCCAATCGCTTTTTATCAGTGTGGAACAGAAGACAGGTTAAGCACCATTCTTCAACCAGAACAATCAGGTAATATGAGCTGTATGCTGAATACTCCTCATCTTTCTATATAGTCCCTGACTCCCTTAAGAGAAAAGGAAACATGAAAAGAGCAGGAGCAAAGTTCGAACTTTGTTGGGACAATTTTAAACTGACAATTATTGGATGAGGTTTTTGTGATATCCGGAATAGTCGAGGTTGAGGTAAGTGTTATCAGCCTAAACCGAAAGCTGAGGCTGATAACACTAACCGAGACCTTCATTATTTCGGGTGTCACAAAAACCGAAGCTAATAATTGTTTTATTATACATTGTTTTAATGAAAATAACGTCAAACGCATTATCGCACCGAACACAGTTGATTTTCGACAAGCCATGTTCTTACTTCGCTGTCCGTGATCTTGACATTGCTCTTGGAAATTATGCATTGCGCGCGCAACCTACGGATTATTCACTAATCTGCTAGCAGATTAGTGAATAATCTGTAGGTTGCGTTGTTTCTCAGAATTAACTGTAGGCTTTTTGCCAATGAGAAGACAGATGGTGACTACAATGTATAATAGTGCTGAATACTAGCTTAAACTGCAAATCGCGAACCACCCATTGGTCGAAGTGAATATTGTGTACACGGTTATCGCCTTGCAGCCGTCTTGAGCATTTTTCGGATTTGTGTTCTCTGATTCACTCACGAGCAAGAGAGAGCTACCAGTGAGACTTAAAGTTTTTGTATATTAACTACACTGTCGTTGTTTTCTGAAGTGCCCTACTCATGGGATGAACCCACTCTGTTACCCGAGTTATCTGTTGGAGTGATGGCAAGTGGATCGTACACACGTTATCACATGCAAGATCTTGGTGAAGGCGAACGGCTTTACTACTATAACCCCATCTACGTCGTGTTCACACACACTTTTTCCAGGTAATCTTCTCCCAACTTCATCCCCAGGTTGGCAATCGATTTGACCTCGACCTATCGCTACATCATCGCGGTTTATTGATAAATCGTTGCTCATAGGGCAATAATTTTGGCCCTATTTGACGCAGAAGTGGTGTTACCCATTTCATACTTTGGACACCAACGGTGAAAAGCGCAACTTGCTAAAACTCAGAGGGACACTTGCTCGAGAAAATTTGAATTGAAAGTTGCAAGCTGCACGAGCAAAGAGTCAGTTAATGTTGGAAGGTCACAAGGTTGCATCTAAAACCCGTCTGGTTTGACGATAACAGAGTTACACAAGTCTAAAAGTTACGTTTAGGGTCACTTCTCCTAAGACAGGGGCATTTTCGGGCTTTATTTTAAACGAATGCTTGAGTTAGATTGGTAATATGAGAAGAAAACAGGCGTTCTGTACTCAGAAGAATTGACTTATCTTGTAAACATCTTTCCTACGAGACGAAAAACATGCAGAGCCTGTCTTGCAGAGGATAACATAGCGATGGGTTCCAGTTAAAAATGAATTCTTATTGATGTGCTCTGATGAAATCATTTTTCAGCGTGGATGGTCACAATTGCGGTTCAGTTCATCTCAAACCTGCTGTAGCAACAGATGAATCATCTCTCGACTTGAGAGAGCTTGTGTTAGATGTACCACAAGGTTCAGCTGTCCTGTTAAGAAGGAAGGTATGCTCTAAGGATAAAATTTAAACTGGCGAAACGTTCGGAAGAATCACTGAAGTTAGCAAGCTAGCGTTCAAGCCAGATACGGCAGGTTTTATATTGTTAGTTGCATGTGTTACGTGGTGTACCCCCTTCCGTAATCCAGCAGGCCATTTTGGAGTTGACTTTTTGCCTTTGTTTCAAGCTAAGACCTTGTACAATATCTTACTTGTGCTTAGAAAGATCATTGTTTTTATTCAATTCAAACACATTTTCACGAGAACGATTTGCCTCGGTTTGAAACAGAGGAAAAAGGCAAGTTAAGTATGGTGTATTCACAGACACATGATGTCGCCTTATTTGCTACAATAACGATACCTCAATGACATATGGCAAGCGCTTTAAATTGAATTCACTGACTGGTGCAACTTCTTAGCTTTGCTTTGTAACTTATGTATGTTTGTAACTGTTCATAACTCCTCAGGAGCCCCACAGAAGGTCCCAGCTGTGGCGTGTGACTGGTAAAGGCCTGTTACGTCACGAGGGCTCCTCACCTCCGTCTGTGAAGCCGTCGTCAGCCAATGCTGGACTTGTGCTGGATATTGACAGCTTAGCTCCTCCCACCTGTGGAAAGTACGTGCGCCTGGTGCTGAGTAAGCCTAACCCAAGGCGGATACACTCGCAGACATGGTCCTTCACTGAGGTAAACAGAAATTTGATTTCACTTGTGCTCCTTATCAGTATCATTATTTTATGTCCACACACCTGGTGTTGATGATGAGGGTTTGGAAAGGGTTCTAACTTCTTGGCGAAACCTGAAAGTCAGTTTGAAAGTGAGGCGTGCAGAGAAAAAAGTGAAAAACAAGCTGGCATCCAACACCGTATTCTTCTACCCCTCCTCCGTGAGTTAAAATATGAGGCTCTGGACTGAATGGAGTTTCAAAAAATCTATGGAAACAAACAAACAAGAACGTAGGACAAGTTTGGCGTAATTCGTCAGCTGAGGTTAATCGTTTTCCTCACTCGGATGAGTTCCTACTTGGCTGTCTGAATAATACGGGAGAGTAGTTTAAACCTTTTCTTGGAAGGCTCCCTTTGCTATTGTGCATCTAGGATATTTCCCCTTATCACTCACTTTCAACTCACATTGCAATCTTTACTTGTGTCATTATTAACAGGATAATCGCATGAAGTGTGACCTTCCAGGGTTATATGTACAACCGAGAGGTGGAGTCAAAGGCTTAAAAGATGGTGAGTGTACAGTGAACAGTTTCCACGTTAAAGGAGTTTCAGTACGGCATTTTGAGTTATTTTGGCCACGTGCAAAATTGCCTTTAAATCAAAGGTAATCTAAAAATGGGAGCTACGAACATAGAAAAACACCAAAGAGATAATAAGAAACCGTAAAGGAAGAAGGATGGTTAAGGATGGAGAAGATTGACACGGATTACAAATAAATTTAGGCTAAACTTTTTAAGTTGCGTAAACCGTGACATAGTTCCTTTAGAAAGACTCATGTCAGTGTTGCAAGTAAACAAGCACATGTATATCTAGTTTGGCAATGCAGGCTTCAATCTATCATACGAATATAATTTCAGTTAAGAAATGAAACTTCTTCAACGTCTTTTGTGTAGTTTCCACTGGTTTCCAAGTGTAAAGGGTTGTTCGACCTAATATTTGAAGGTCTTGGCAAGTCGCAGCTGAAAGAGGCCACATTTCTCGTGTTATAGTGGTGGAAAGTATGCGTAAATGGTTGATATTCTGATATGGGAGGTCTTTTTAACAGAAAAACTTGGGATCAGAAATAATTTCCTTAAATTCTTGTTCCAGTTTTACCCTTCTTGGTGCAGAGAAAATGATTTTATTTGGTTTTGAATTTTTTCCTTTGTTAACGTATTATGTGGAGAAAACATTGAGACACTGCTCAGCTGAACTATCTTACCTGCAAGAGCCTATCTTGACTTTTTAATATGTAAATTTAAGCTTTGTATGGCAGCGTTAAACAACGCTTGTATTAATTGCAGGTGTGGACGCAGTGCTTGGACCAGCAAACATCACTAAAGATAGTCAAATTCCAGTTGAACAGTGCATCAGCACGTGTAAACTGAGGCCTGGCTCTGGTTGTCTTGGAGTCAAGATCCTGGCAGATGGACCAACCAGAGTCCTGCAGATTGCTGACAGCTTACAACAGGTATGGACTGCAAAGACTAAGGCATGCGTTGAAGACTAACGTTCGCCTGGTATTATCTTAATATTCCCTTATTTTTTATTTTTTGAAAATTTGACAGCCCATGGAGCAAATACCAGTTGACAGTGATGGTCGGTCCACTAGGCCGGACTGAGTCCGCAGTTCTCTTCTTTAAAGGAGCGCAGTCACGGCATTTTGAGTTATTTTAGCCAAAACACAAAATTGGCTTTAAATTATAGGAAACCTGAAAATATCTGACTGAGATAGAAAAACACCAGCTCCTTTGAGCTGGCAGAGTAAAATTCCTAAAGAGAAAAAATATCTTTGACAATTTCTAAAAATGAAGGTGATCGCAGCGTAAAAGTTTGCGTCTTCGTTAGCAAGGTTGCTTATGTTGTTAACAATTTTCAGCATTTTATTTCCCTTAGTTCTTGACATTCTCTGGGAATTGAGCTAAATTACTGTTACTGAATTGTTTATGTGAGAGCGTATTGAAAGTATCGCTTTCGTAATCACTTACACGAGATCAAAATTACATCAGGTCTTTTATTTTCTCGCCAAAATATAAGTGAGCAAAAAGACCGAAAATGTTCTGATCCAATAAGCCACCATAGCGTTGAGGTATCCCTTTCAGATACTAAGAGAATAAACTAATCATTAACTTGTTATTAGTCTGAGGAAGAACCAGAGAAGGACTGGATGGTAGTGGAACAGAAAGGTGCTATGCGCCAAGCAACCGTGAGCAGCCTGGGCACCGAGGGAGACTCATCTGGTCTTGAGGTGCAGATTCGTTTGGTTGGTGGGATTGGTGTGTCAATTATTAACTCTGTTCCAGAGGAACTCGTCTTCATAAATTTGGAGCAAATACAGGTATACCGCTCGTAAATAATTAAAATTGGTCTAATGCGGTGTTTCTTGCGATGAATCATCAAGTCCTTGAGTTTATTACTGGGGATTCACGATATCTACTCTGGCCTGTTTTTTTGCAAAACTAGAGTTCCAATCTTAGTTGTTATTTGTTTATCAATGCAGCTTATCTCATGATCCTTGGGAGCCAATTCTTAGTCCTAATCAGTCAATATCAGTACAAGCTTAACTGAATATCGCAGACATTCCCAGAAGCAGCAGCCGATACCTAAATATGTGATGTTACCTATCACAACCTATTTGACGTCAGCTGTGACGTCTGTAATTTTACATTGTATTATGTTTACTCAGCGTTCTCGGTCTAACCAATCAATGAAGTCGTATCCATTAGCCCTGGACCTGTGGACTTTGTGGTCAGGCCAGCTGATTGTATCCTTCACTTACTCGATGAAGTTTTTCTGTGGTAAAATTTGATAATCTTCAACCCATAGCATAATTTTTTTTAACCTCTTTGTTTGTCGAAACATTTGTGTACTGAAAGAGTTGCGACTCTTTCAGATCAGTCAAAATCAGTTTGTAGGTTTCTTCAAGATGATATTAATCTCGGAGAAATGCTCAAAGCATAAATTACAAACTGTGCAAAAATGAAATCAAGACAAGTTTCCGTTTTCCTGGACTGGCCTGTTGAAAATGCTCATTTTTACGTAAATTCCATCGGCCATCTCCTTACGTGTATTTAAAGGTAGTTAAGACAGCATTTTTCCATTGGATTGATGCGGAGAAGAGTTTGATTGGAAATATGCTTTTTATTTCCAGGTGGATTACTTAAGAACTTCCACGCTGGAAACATTAGAAGGCAGCATAGGACGCATTCAGGTCAGTGTTTATAAGGTTCTATGTTACGGGCGTTCTGTCACAGTTCTTTATTAGGGACCTTTAGCAATGACGACGAGAACGTGGACGACGACGTATATGACCGAATCGGGCCTGGAACGGGACCGTCGTCCACGGCGGGAAACGTAAACACTTTAGTAAACCGGTTACGTGGACGAGTCCTTAACTGCAGCTTTCTGTGGCAGTCAAAAGGAAAATGTCGAGCAAATTTCAAATGTTGCGTTAATTTGAAAATGCAAAAATTATCCACTAAAACAATTTAACGTTTATTCAGTGTTGTAATCAACGTCAAGTGATTCAAAGCTAAGTTAAGTTTATAGTCGATCCGAGCAGTTCGGATATTCTTCAAAGCCCAGAACTCTTCTTAAAA